CTATAGCCTGAGAGATCACGATTTCAGGAAGCACCTCGTCGACAAGAAGAGGAAGGCATCAAGAGGTCCCGGGGTGTCTCTGTCCTGCTCTTGAGGATACTCAAACTCTGACCTCAAAGCTCAGTCGAAGTACACACCTGTGACACTGGAGGCCGTGATTACGAGGGAAGAGTTTGACCTGATGAAGCACAGGTTTGATGAGCAGGTCGAGGCATTGAAGGCTAAATGCGAGAGAAAGGAGAGTCCATTCGATGATGGCGAGATAGGCGAGTCGCCATTCACCTCAGACGTCTTGGAGGCCCCTATTCCTCCAAAGTTCAAAACGCCCACTATGAAGCCTTATGACGAGTCTAAGGATCAAAAGGACTATGTACACTTCGAAGGCCTCATGGATTTTCAAGCAGCCTCAGACGCCATTAAGTGTCGAGCTTTCCAGATCGCTCTCATAGGGAGCACTCGAATCTGGTATCGAAGGCTGCCGGTAAGGTCGATCTCAACCTACAGTCAGCTGAGGAAAGAGTTCATCAGTCAATTCTCTTCTCGTTACTATGACAGGAAAACAACCACTCATCTCGCCACCATCCGACAGAAAGAAGGCAAGACTCTAAGAGAATACGTGACTCGTTTCCAAGAGGAGCAGCTCAAGGTCGCGCATTACTCCAATGATTCGGCCATGTGCTACTTCCTCACTAGGCTGGCCGACGAGACTCTGACGGTCAAGTTGGGCGAGGAAGCACCATCAACCTTCGCTGAGGTCTTGCAGAAGGCTAAGAAGGTTATAGACGGGCAGGAACTGCTCAGAACCAAGCTAGCACTATAACAAATCTGCTATTACATGACGGGCATTGCCCGCCATTAAAAGGTAATCATGACGGTCGCTGACCGACATCTATACGAGTGTCCTTGTTTCTCTTTCATGTCGGACAGTTTTAAGGTCGGGCATTGCCCGTCATGTATATTCTCTTTCCATCCGGACATGGCCGTCATGAAACGACCCTTTTAAGGTCGGGCAGTGCCCGTCATGTATAACATTTTACATGACGGACATGTCCGTCATGAAAGAATAACCATGTCGGTTGACAACCGACATCTTTACGATTGTCTTTGTTTTGTGGCTGTCATTGTATGTGCGTCATTGTTTGTACGCCATTGTTTGTACACCATTGTTTGTTCGTCATCTTTTGTGTGACATTCTTTGTACGTCATTGTATCTACATCGAAATGCGGGTCATGGAATGACTATATTTCGTGACAGATATTGACCGTCATTATTTTGTGAATAAATTAATTAAAAAAATAGTTGATTGCCCAGACGTGGCTAACCAACTATATATATTTCCTTCAAACCTATGATAATATCTCAATATGCAACTAAAACTTTTAACACATTCATCCATTATAAAACAATATCTATTCTAAAACTTAACTAAAAAACTAACCTTAGACTCAAAACACAAATAATCAAAAGTACAAATTTCAACATAACCTCTCCACTTTTAGAATAACTCAAAACTAGCCAACAACATATCTCTCCCTTCCAACCTATTCTATAAAAGCTTAACAAAAACACAAACAATCAAGAGTAAGTACAAATTTCATCATGACCTCTCCTCTCCACTTTAGAATATATAACTCAAAACTAACCAACTAATATATCTCCTTCCAACCTATTCTCACAAAATAATTCTCAATATTATTGAAACTCAAAAGTTATTATGCAAGTAAAACTAATTTCAAACATTATGATATTCTAAAACTTAACTCAAGAACTAACCTTAAACTCAAAACACAGATAATCAAAAAGTACAAATTTCAACATAACCTCTCCACTTTTAGAATAACTCAAAACTAGCCAACAACATATCTCTCCCTTCCAACCTATCTAATATTCAATTCGACCAAATCTAGACGAGCTTGTAATCCATCCTTTGATTTTCCTGGAATATCAAGTAATGTGCAAATAAGATTTGAGCACACATTCTTTTCAATGTGCATCACATCTAAACAATGCCGCACATGAAGATGCTTCCAGTACTCCAACTCAAAAAAAATAGACTTATTCTTCCAATAACTATATGAAAGATCTCCATCATTTTTTTCCTTTTTTCCTTCCTTTTTTCCTTTCTTACCAAATGAATATTGGAGTCCATTTGCTTTTGCAAGAATTTCTACTCCACTTAATGGTTCAGGAGCGAATCCCAATTCTGGTTTACCATTAAATGCTTTCTTCTGCTTCCTATATGGATGATTACGAGGTAAAAACTTACGATGCCCGAGATACGCCATCTTCCTCCCTTTTGGCAAATAAATGGATGAAGTTTTCTCCCCACAAATTGGACATGCGTGATATCCTTTTACCGTACAACCACACAAATTTCCATACGCAGGAAAATCATTAATAGTCCACAGTAAAATAGCTTTAAGTGTAAAACACCGCTCTTGATATGCATCAAAACATTCAACTCCATCATTCCAAAGCTTCTTCAAATCATCAACTAATGGAGCTAAATAAACATCTATGTCATTTCCTGGTTGTTTGGGACCAGATATTAATGCAGTCAACATCAGAAATTTTCGTTTCATGCACAACCACGGGGGTAGATTGTACGTCACCAACATAACTGGCCAACAACTATATTTACTATTTTGTTCACCATGTGGATTGACCCCATCTGTTGAAAGAGCAAGACGAAGGTTTCTAGGCTCTAGACCAAACTCTGGCCACAATTTGTCTACTTCTTTCCACGAAATTGAGTCTGCTGGATGTCGTATATATCCATCACTTACTCTTTTTTGGCATGCCAAGTCAATAAACTTGATATTTCTTTACTTCGAAACATTCGTTCAAATCTTGGAATTGGAGAGAAGTACCACATGACTTTGGCCGGAACATTTTTCATTGCTTCCTTTGAATCTTTACGAAGCTTCCATCTTGATGTTCCGCAAATGGGGCATTCATCTTCATCTGAGAGTTCTTTTCTAAACAAGCAACAATCCTTGCGGCAAGCATGAATCTTTTCATACTTCATCCCAAGAATACATAAAGTTTTTTTTGCTTGATACATAGAATTTGGAATTTCATTAGGACTTGGTAACATATCACGAACTAATGCCAACAACTCAGTAAAACTTCTATCGCTCCATCCAAATTTCGCTTTCAAATTATATAACTTCAATAATGCAGATATTTTGGTAAAGTTCTTACAATTTGGATATAATGGTTTCTTCGCATCACCTAGTAGCTCCTCGAAATTTTGTGGATTATCGTCAAAGTAATCATATGCAGCCTCAAACATCCCGATTGTGTCATCAAAATCGTCATCATCAACTTCTTCTTGTGCACTAGTAGACATACTTTCGATGTTTCTCTTAATCGATATTGATTCACCATGTCAAATCCATGTCTTATAGCTTTGATCAATACCATAAACAAATAAGTGATCTCTTACTACATTCAAATGTTGAGACTTTGCATTTACACACTTTAAACATGGGCAACAAATGACATTTGATCTTTTTGAATGTCGTAATCCATTTTCAATGAACATCACAACCCCTAAACTATACTCGGTTGACATTCTATTTTTTGTCATCCACGACTTATCACTAATTAAATCCCCACAGAGACCTTCAATATTCTCCATCAATTTGCTTTCAGAAAACTATAAACCTGTGAGTCCGCAGAGTTAAAGAGAATAATCAAAATTAGATGGACAGTCTGCAGCTTGGCCTCAAGAGTCAGTAACCGTTAATATCAGAACAAATCAGAATCCCCAGCCAACATTATAAGTAAAAATATATTTCCTAACATGCCTAAACACTAGGTAAGCTCTCTTTGGAGGATTTGTTGGGTCTTAATTTCCTGTTTCTTGGCAATTAAAAGGCTTTTTGGAAAATGAAACAAATGTATTTAAGAACCTGTGTATTTTCTTGACCAAAACTCGACGGTGTAAGACAAATGTCTATTCCTCCAACATGTTCCCAAAAGTCTCTTTCGCCTAAAAGATGCCTCCACCTATTTCCAAATATTATCTGTAGTACAAGTAAAACTGAATTCATTCAATAAAGGAAAAACTTGTCGACTATGAAGCGAACTTAGCAGTGAATGAGATAGATAAACAAGTATTTATCATTCAGGCTCTTACAATTATGAAACTTACATTGTTAGTTAATGTTTGAAAATTTGCCCACACAGAATGAACTAGATGAGGGCTACTTCGTGCGCCACCATTTTTCCATAAAAACTGTCATTCGGCACATTAAAGTAAAACGTAAATAGAAATCTTACTAATGCTATCTGTATCTTACCTGAAAACATATATAACTAAATCAATTGCAGTTTCTCTAGGACCTTAGGCAATGGACTAACTTAACACCAATCGAGTAGTTAGCTTGTAACCATTTCTGTATCTTTCTGAGGAAGGAAGCGACGTGCTATAKGTCGTTACAGCCATCTGCACAAAAATCATTTTTGAATTTTCCATTAGCATCACCATTAAACAAAAAAATTTGACTGCCCTATATTAATTTGAGGATCATTGTACTAGTAACCTGAACATATCGGAGATCACCACTCCCCTGATCTTCATCATAAGGCTCTATGTTTAATTCAGTGATACCTACACATAACAACGAAAAAAATATTCAAATAATTCGGCCCCCATATGAAAGCCCCTAACTCCATCAATGTGATGTGAGATGATTCGCTCCCTGCCACCGAATCGAAGCTCATCGCTGCTGATTTTGTCGCTCTCTGCCGCCGGAACTTACTCCTAATCGTTTGGTCTCGCTCGCGCCTCTTGTACGTGGTCGTCTGCTCCCCTTCCCCCGACAATGGAGCAAGGTTTGCGCCGGTTTCACGAGAGGGTAGAGAGGGTTCGCGCGGCAAAGAGAACTGGGGGGGCAAAAAAATTTCGTGTGTAAAAATTTTGGGTGAAATTTTTAATTTAGGGTTAAAATTGGGCACTTTTCATGGCAGGCCTGGCCCGCCACTAAAACTAAAACTACAATGGCGGGCTAGGCCCGACATGGATACTTAAAAAAAATAAAATAAAAAATTCGGCGTGTTTTTTAGCGTGTCCGACATGGTTGCCTCCGTGTTTTTCTTGTCCGACATCGTTTCCTCCGTATTTTTTTTGTCTGACATTGAAACTAAGATTTGTTGTAGCGTAGACCAAACCGACAAGCGGTCCGACCAGAAAAAGTTAGGAGCCCAAGAGAAGGGGAAGTTCGACTCTAAGTCTAAGGACAAGGGGTCATCTTCTTAAGGACGAACTGACTACAGGAGGTCTGATTCGGATTCGAGCCAGAGGGGGCCGTATGAGCGGTACACCCCAACCACCATTTCGATCTCCAAGATTTTAACCAATATCGAGGAGAATGGTTTGGAGAAACTTCTCAAGCGGCTTGATAAACTCAGAGGAGACCCGAAAAAGCACAATAAGGACAGGTACTGCCGTTTTCATCGCGATCACGGCCATGATACCTCGAATTGCTGGGAGTTAAAGCGTCAAATTGAAGACCTGATTCAAGATGGCTACTTCAAAAAGTACATCGTCAAGTCAGGCTTGAGCTCGGCAGGCAAAAAAGAAGAGAGGAAGCGTTCAAGAACGCCACCTCAGCGAGATGACCGACCTGCGTCATCAACACCATTTTTGGCTGTTCTAGTGGGGCCAGTATGGAAACAAAAGGAAGGAGCTTGCTAGGGAGGCTCGTTGGGAAGCTTGTGCCATTCAGGAGTAGAAGCCGACCTGCCTTATCTCTTTCTCCGATTCCGATCTCGAAGGGGTACACTTGCCCCACAACGATGCCTTGGTAATAGCACCACTCATAGACCATGTTCAGGTCAGAAGAGTGCTAGTGGATGAGGGTGCTTCTGCCAACATTTTGTCTCTCACTACTTACCTGGCGTTGGGATGGACCATGGCACAGTTGAAAAAGAGCCCAACCTCCTTAGTGGGATTTGCGGGTGAATCTGTCACCCCAGAAGGTTGCACAGATCTTCTAATCACCATTAGTCAAGGCGACACTCAAATCACTCAGATGGCCGAGTTCGTGGTAATAGATGGTAGGTTGGCCTACAACGCCATATTCGGACGACCTATCATCCATTCACTGCGTGCCATCCCGTCGACCTTGCACCAAGTCATGAAATACTCTACGATCAATGGGGTTGGCATAATCCGAGGTGAACAGAAAGCATCCTGGGAGTGCTATACCTCGGCTTTAATAGGATCAGCAGTCTGCGCCCAGGAAGAAGTGGAAAAACTTCCAGGTCCGGTAACTCAAGCTTCCGAAGACGAGCAGCCCAAGACCAACCAGTGCGAAGTAGCTGCGCCCACTGAAGAGTTGGAGCTTGTCCCCTTGCTCAGCCCAGAGAAACAAGTGAGCATAGGCACCAAGCTGGGCGCTGCGGACAGGGAGGAGTTCATCTCCTTCCTTAGGGCGAATTCCGACGTGTTCGCGTGGTCGCACGAGGACATGTCGGGCGTTGATCCAAAAATAATGGTTCACCGCCTCAACATAGATCCGTCATTCCGACCTGTCAAGCAAAAAAGAACACTTGTAAATAGGGAAATGAGTGATGTAATTGTTGAGGAAGTAAGCAAACTCTTAAAAGCCGAATATATAAAAGAAATTTTGTATCCTGAGTGGCTCTCTAACGTCGTCCTAGTTAAAAAATCTAACGAAAAGTGGAGAATGTGCGTAGATTTCACCAATCTTAACAAGGCATGTCCAAAAGATTGTTTTCCACTACCGAGGATTGACTAGCTCGTGGACGCTACGGACAGGCACGAGCTGCTCACATTTATGGATGTTTACTCAAGGTACAACCAAATCAAGATGCATGAGCCAGATCAAGCCCACACTTCTTTCATAACCGATCAAGGTTTATACTGTTACAAGGTTATGCCCTTCGGATTGAAAAATGCAGGGGCAACTGACCAAAGAATGGTGAATAAGATGTTTGCTAGCCAGATCGAACGAAATATGGAAGTCTATGTGGATGACATGCTTGTCAAAAGCAAGCAGTCCAGGTCGCACCTGGCTGACCTGACTGAAACCCAGATGAAGCTGAATCCCGCCAAGTATGCCTTTGGAGTTTCATCTGGCAAGTTCCTTGGATTCATGGTTAATAACCGTGGAATTGAGGCCAACCCAGAGAAGATAAAGGTCGTTCTCGAGATGCAGGCGCCGAGGACCCTCAAGCAGCTACAATGCCTTAATGGGAGAATCGCCGCTCTCAACCGGTTCGTCTCTAGGTCTACCGACAAATGCATTCCCTTCTTCAAAGTGTTAAGGACGAAGGGGCCATTCGAGTGGGCAGGCGAGTGTGAGGCCACTTTTGAAAGACTCAAAGGCTACTCCTTGGCACCATTGCTTGCAAAGCCAACGCCAGAAGACAAACTACACTTGTACTTGGCTGTTTCAAAGAACGCGGTAAGCTCGGTCCTGATTAGACAAGATGGAGTACAGCAGAGCCCTATCTATTACACGAGTAAAGCCATGACCGAGGCCGAAACGAGGTATCCCCAGATGGAGAAGCTTGCCCTCGCCTTGGTCACCTCGGCACGGAGACTAAGACCATACTTCTAATCCGATACCGTGACCGTACTCACTAACTTGCCTTTAAAGGAGGTTTTTCACAAACCAGAAACGTCTGGACGATTAATG